GGCCGGCGAGGCCGCGCGGCGGGCTCCCGCGCGAGCGAGTGTGTCTGGGCCTGGGCGGAGGGATCCCCGGGCTGAGGCGGCGGAGGTGCTGCGGCCCGGGGCCGGGTGGTGAATGGGCTGGTGGTGCTCGCTGCTGCTGCTGAGAGGAGGAGGAGGAGGAGGATGAAGAGTTGGGCTTGTTTGTCTCCCACAGTTTCTCTCCTGCTGCTCTGATTTCCCCCTCCCCTATTCTGGCCCGGGGCCTGTGTGTGTCTCTCCTGAAGGAGGAGGAGGATCCAGTTCCTCCCCCCACCCCCCCTCCTCCCCACCCCCCCCTTGCCTGGGGAAGAGGAGGAAAGAAACAGTCCAGAGAGAGCGAGAGAGTGTGAGTGAGTGAGTGAGTGAGAGAGAGAGAGGGAGAAAAGGAGGAGGAGGAGGGAGAAGGGAACAACCTACCATCTTAACACACTAATATCTAAAAAGTGCGAGAGGCCCAGAGCAGCAGCAGCAGCAGCAGCAGCAGCTCCAGCTTCTTCCCTCCCTCCCCATGAAGAAGAGTTCCCTCCTCCTCCTCCTCCTGCTTCTCCTGTTCAGAGTTCCTGCCTCCAGCTGCCAGGGGGGACAGCCAGCCAGCAGCAGGAGGGTGCAGTATCCCAGCTTTTCCATTCTCTCTCCTCACTCTCCTCTCTCTCTTTTTTTTTCTTGAGTAGCTTTATTTCCCCTCCCTCCCCCCTTCCCCCCTCTCCTTCTCTCTGTCTTGTCTCTGGTGTTTGTCTCTGGGAGGAACTGGGGCTGCTTGCTTGGAGTTTGTTGAGGGGGGGCATAGGGGGAGGGGAGGGGTGTGTGGGAGGGAGGAGGGAAAGGGGGTGTTCTCGCCAGGACCCCTCAGTCAACTTGAGATTTGAGCAATAACTTCCCCTTCGGGGCGCCCCCCTGCGTGCCCTTCCTATTCCTACCCCCCCCTAAAAAAAGACAATGGAAAAACCTGTCTCCCCCCTTCCTCTCCTCTGCCCTCCACCCCTCCCAGGATAAATTGGAAGTAAGTTTATGAGCAGCCTCGGGAGCCTGGGCGCACAGTGCAGGGCCCGTGCGGGTGACACAGGCGGCGCGTTGGGGGTGGCGGGGAGGGGGCGTCACATTTTCCCGATGGGGGGTCGGGGAGGGGGCTGTCGGCGGGGGGGGGGGGCCGGAGCCTCGCCCGCCCCCCTCGGTTCTCCCTCGGCCCGGGGTTGGTCGACTGGGCTCTTTTCTCCAGCACCCCCCACCCCCCGGGATGCTGTCGGGGGGAAGTTTTTATTCTGGTTATTTATTTAATTATGATGATGATTATTTTGGGGGAAAACCATCTTGTTTGGCGACTGAGAGATCGGGTTAAAAAAATAAAATAAAAAAGCTGCGGCTGCTGACGCTGCCGGGCCCGAGTGTGTGTGTGTGTGTGTGTGTGTATATGTGAGTGTGTGTTGTGTGTTGGTGCATTTGTCTTGGGTGGCCGGAGCAGCGTTGGGGAAATTCCGCTTATTCTTCTTCTTCTGCAACTTGTTATTCCGGAGAGTCCGCCTGCACCCCTCACCCCGGGGCCGGCCCTCCCGCGCTCGCCCCCGTCGCCGGCGGCCGCGGGGCGCCCCCGGGACCCCGAGCGGTCCGGGGCCGACTGGCCGCTCAGAGAGGGGCCGCGGCCGCCCCTCCCCCGCCCGCGCCCCCGCCGGGGGGAGGGGCGCGCGGAGTGGGACTCTTTCCGTTTGGTCCAGCCCCGCCGTGCACGCAGTTCCCAACACTTCTCGTCATCCTCTCTCTGGGCTCTTTATTCTGCTGAGCGGTGCTGTTAGGATTTCTTTTTTTCCCCTGACCACGTTCGCGATGGTGGGTAGCGGCAAGGTGGCCCTGGTAGGGGAGGGGTTAATACCCAGATTGGGCACCGGGGGTGGGGGGAGAATGTCTCCTTTCAACTTTGTCTGTGGCTTGCACCCCCGGAGAAGGCCACACGCCGGTTGTGGGGTGCAGATGTGCCGAGAGTGATTTCTAAGTAGTTGAGTTGTTGAGACCAGGGTAGGACGGCTAATGGTAGGCAGGTTTTGTTTTCATTGGTGAATCGAGTGTCATCATATTCCGGTCATATGTTGAAATATTCTTTGTTTAGGTCTTCAAGTAGAGGATCTCACTCTGCACGTCCACATTGTGTTGTTTTTGAATGATGTCTCTGGAAGTATGGCTTTCTAGAATTTCAAATGTGAGTTAAGGTCGGGGCGTCTGTGGGCCTCAGCGCTGGCCTTGACAGTGAACTTTGTGGCAGTGTTTTGGATTTCAGAGATTTGCCCCAGAGCTGGGATGGGAACTGTGGATTTTTCTGAATAGTAGATGTCAGGAATGTAGATGCTTGAGCTGGGCGAAGTTAAAGGGAAGAACATTTATATATTAATAATTGATTGCAGAATATTGGAATCAGATTAATTTGGTCTGATGAAAGTTTTTTGTTTTGTTTTTTTTTAAAGCAGTTTTGCATTCTAGGAAGGAAATCTTTTCTTAGGCACACTTTTTAATAGGGGCTCTAAAGGGCCGGGAGCTGGAATATCTCCTCCTTCACCATCTCAGGCTCTACTGAGGGATTGGTAAACGGACTGAAATTGGGACTAAGACATCTGAGAGTTAACTTTTCAGCGTTTATGTTGTTTGTTTACAGCTGTTGTTCACAGTAGAAATACATAAGTCAGCTTTTCTCTGAGTTTTTGAAGACTAGCCCCTTTTGTTTTAAAGTTTTGCAATGAACTTGGTTCATAGTTTTGTAGGACACATTAAATTTGTATTGGAAACCGCATTATTCGTTTTAAATTTGGTAAGTTCTGCCCTATCTCTTCTGTCTCCATTTACATATGTTATCTACCTTGTGGATTTAAAACTCACTTGTTTGGGGCATTAAAAATGTCTAAGAAATGCATTAAAAAATCCCAGGGCATATCTTTTGGTGGCAAAGAGGATGCTTTTGCATGCAGTTACATTCATGTTTATCAAGAAAATTTCTGTACTTAAAACTTCTGTAGATGGACAGCTGTCCTTGAGTGGAGAGGGAGCATAGTAATAGTGTAGAAAATTCTCCAAGCAAACTTTGGACTAACATGTTAAAATTATATCAGGTGCTTTTTTTTTTAACACCAGACTTAGGCTTTTGTTAACATAATAGTATTTACAGCTTGACTGGCATTGCTCAGCTGGCCTCATAATAAAGTCTTTTGCTTGAGTGCTTCTGAAGGCCTTTTACTTAGTTTTTAGGAACATCTGCAGGCTTTATTTAAGCATGTTGTATTTTGAACTCAGAACTCTTTATGGGACTGGAATAGTAACCTATTGAAAAAGTCTCCTCCTCCTCGTGCTGAGTTTTATTTTTGAGACGTATGAGTGATGGATGGGGCCCTATTTCTTTTGACTTTGAAGGGTCCATCCTTTTCCCAGTTCAATCATCTGGAAGGAGCTACCTCAGGAATACTCTTCTTCTGCTTACATGAAGAGCTCTAAATGCTATCCAGCAGGAGGTGCTACAGCAAGAATAAGCAAATCAGACTTTTGAGGGTCTTGCTACTTATTACAGCTCTACTTAGCTTCAACTAAGCGACAGGATTAACACCTTAAAAGTTCCAGAAAGATATTGAGTAAGTCCACTTAAAAATTTCATTTAAAAATTACATTTGCTATTTGAAATGGTAATCTTTGACTGCTTTTTACCTGCTTACCATACGTAAAGTAGTTTTGTTATTGTAGGTTTCTTAAGGATGCTGAGCTTAGTTCGTTTTGGTGTGCTGTTAAGAGTATTTTGTTGTAAGGGAAGCTAGTCTTATATTGTGGAGCCCTGGTGTGGCTCTGCGGGCTAATGCGTCAGACAGCAAAGTCCTTTGAACTGTAAGGTTGGTGGTTCCAGCTCACCAGCTGCTCCTTGGAAACCCTATACAGTGTCGCTGTGGGTCACAATCGACTCAACGGCACTTAACAACAAGTCTTATATTTGGAGTCCTGGTGTGGCACTGTAGGATCAGCACTGGACTAAAAGATCAGTTTGAACGGCAAGGTCAGAAACCCTATGAGTTTCCGAAATCACTATGAGTTGGAACCAATTCGATGGCACTAAACAACAACAACAGTCTTATATTATGGAGAGGGTGTTGAATGCACATTTTGAAAAAAACATGTGCAATAGGTATAAGCAGAAGTAGTTCATATGCTTGGGGCTTTCAAGCTTTATGATAATCCCTGCAATATTAATACAAGTAGGATATAGAGGGCTTGATAGTTTGTCGTTGTTAAGTGCTGTGTAGCCGATTCTGACTCATAGTGACCATAGGTAGGGTTTCTGAGGGGCTAGTGGGTTTGAACCACCAACCTTTTGGTTAGCAGTCCAGTGCTCATCCTACAGCGACACACCAGGACTAGGCGATATTGTGATAAAATTTTTAGACTGTTCCTATCAGCTAAATCTGAGGCCCTAATGGTTCTAACAGTTACATTTCTGTGACTGAATTTGTTGAACTAGAAGTAAAGTTATGTTGGTGGGTATGGGTCAGTGCTGATATGCCAATGAGCAACTCTGGCAAACAACTGCATAAAGATGAAAGTAGCTACTTTGACTGTGTCACAGTATTTACAATATATGGTTCTTTGAAACTCTGTTAGGTGAGTTATCAATGGAAATAGCATGCTATTTTGGCAGCTTGTAGAGTTTGATACCAAAGTTTTAAAAAAACTTGACATCTATAGATAATTTGATGAGCCTGCTTTGAGCATTGTCTAACTTCTTAGACATCATACTATACTTTTTCTCAGTAAGATCAAATGAGATAATACATAGGAAGGTTCTTTGTAAATCCTCAGAAGCCATGCAGATGTTCGGTTCTTCAGATAGGTGACTAATTCATACATGGAGAGGTTACTCTGTTCTTAAAATGCTAACTTTCTCCATACTCGTTGGGAAATGAGGGCCAAAAAAAGTGTTCCTGAACATTTAAAAAAAAAATTTTTTTTTGGATAAAGCTGTGGTACCAAAAAGCTCTTTGTTAGGAGTCTTGAACCTTTGTTTTAAAAAAATGCTGCCTAGGCAGTTTTTCCTAATTCAAAAAAGAAAAAAAAAAAAAAATTTTATTCTTTTGACTATCCTAAGAAGTGTGTACCCTCTATAAGCGTTTCTTCATTTCTCCTGATAGCACTAGTACTTGATTTTAGTGAATATTTAAGTTCCCCAACGTTTCTCTAGACATTTATTAACACAGAGAGTAACAGATGTCATTTTTGGGGTTTTTACCATTTTGCTTGACTCTTGTAAATTTCTGAAAAATTCAGATGAAAACTTTCAAGTATACTTCAAAGTGAAAAAATCTCTCCCTATCCATCTATATGTAAATCTATATGTGAGTATTAGGAGCATGTGTATTGTTTTTTGTTTTTCTATTTTAGAAGAATGCATGAGGAAACGACTGTTCAAATCTAGGGTGCACTTAATTTTTGTGGAAAAATAACCCCAAGGTTTAAAACTCAAAGTCTTAGCTTTCTTAATAGACTCTCCTCACAAATTTGTAATAGAAATATAGATAATTGGGAATTCCTATATTTGTAAATGTATCAAAAAGTATAGGATCTTATGTTTTAAAAGTGACTGACTGTTCT